TTGAAGAAACTATGTCAAAATTTTAAAGAGAGAACAACTTATATATATATGCCAAAAATAAGGGTAACTACTACTATGAAGGGATAGACTATGACTCTAAAAATGAAAAATAAAAATGTTTTTTTTTAAAAAGGGATTAATAAGATGTTGGTTGAAAAAGGGAAAAAGAAAAATTTTTAAAAAATAGTTAAAAAAATTAACTTTGAAAAACTAATGAATCATGGTAAAAAAGCCATGAATTCTATGTGCAGTATTCCCCTAGCGCTGGAGTTCTCCCGTTCTCCTTGATCAGTAAACTTGGTCTTGCCTGGCTGTTCCTGCTGATCTTCTGGGGGAGGGGCCTGTTGCCGTGGTTCCCAAATGTCTTTGCCGGAGGCGGAATTGCCCCGCCCTTGTGAGTCCGGGCTAAGCAAGCTGCTCTGGTTTGCTCTCAGGTGCTTTTGTTCCTTACAAGCTCTCGGCACAGCTTTGGAGGACAAGAACGAAAATGGTGGCCTCCCAATCTCTGCCCAGAGGAGACAAGAACTCGGGGTCCGGCTCCTCAGTGCGCCCCCAGAGAAAAGCAGTCACTCCCGTCTCCCTGGTCTCCGGCCGCACTCCGTGCTCACCCGGCCTGTGACCGAGCGTTTGTATCTCTGGCACGTGACCCCGTGTGGAGTCTCCAAACCCAGCAAATCCCTGCAGTGTGCTCCCGCGATGCTCCTCCCGGGGGAAAAAGGGGAGTCTCCCCGGCTCTGCCGCTTGTTGGGTCCCTGCTGGAGGAGCAGTGGCCCGACTGGGCCGTGGGTCACAGTTTATGGCCACCCCGAGCTGAGAGCCCGCGCCTCGGCTCCGTCTCTGCAGCCGGCTTCCCCGCTCCGACACCTGGGAGCTCTGCCGCACTCAGGCACCCCCGGTCTTTCTGTGACCCCGAGGGTCCTGAGACCACACTGTCCTGCGAGGGTTCCACCCGCCGCTTAGCCACTGGAGCGACGTCCCTCAGCGGAGCCGACTTCTAAAAGGTCCGATTTTGTGCTCCGCGGCTCTAGCACTTGCCAGAAGCGGCCGACGGAGGCCCCCTCCCCCGCCGTCTATCCTCCCGAATATCGCCTCGGATTCCCTTCTCCGCACGACCTACCTTCCAGAAAGTGGTCGCTTCTCTGTTCAGAGAGTTGTTGCTACTCTCCTCTTCGATCTCCTGTTGAGTTCGTAGGTGTTCAGAATGGTTTGATCCCTCTTCAGCTGAATTCCTGAGACCAGACGAAATCCAGGTCTCCTACTCCTCCGCCATCTTGCTACTCCTCCCTTGTTACTATAATTTTTGCATTATTTTCCATAGTTTAGTAGCTGGCAAATAGGAGCTGGATGTCAATGGCTCAAAAATAATGTGTATACATAATATACATAACTACTTATAGCTCTTTTGCTTCATACACACACACACACACACACACACACACGAACTTAAAATTGAAAAAATTCTGTCCATTACAATGATTTTTATGGAGTGATGCAAAAAAAGTTAAGGCCTCATACAGTTTGGTTTAAGAACAATATCTTATTGGGCACCTGGGTGGCTCAGACAGTTAAGTGTCTGCCTTCGGCTCAGGTCATGATCCCAGGTTGCTGGGATCGAGCCCTACATTGGGCTCCCTGCTCCACAGAAAGCCTGCTTCTCCCTCTCCCCACTGCACATGCTCTCTCTCTCTCACTATCTCTTTATCTCAAATGAATAAATAAAGTCTTAAAAAAGAGAACAATATTTTATGAAGACCACTCTCAAGGCAACCACAAAAAGCACATATTCCTTTTTGTTGTTGTTGTTATATTTTTAAGTAATTTCAAATTTCAGATATACAGGAAAATTCCAAGAATAGAACAAAAACCCCCATATTTACCCAGAGACCCCATTCAACCTTCACCCAAATCCCCTCAGGGTCTTTCAGCAACAGTGTGGGACACCCATTTAAGGATTCTCCCTAGGCTCCCTCAGTCTTTCTTTGCTTTTCATGGCCTTTGCCATTTTGAAGATTACAGGGTGGTCATTCTGCATAACGTCCTTCAACTTGAGTATGTGCAATATTTTCTCAAGACACAACCCAGGTCATTATGTTTTGGGCAGGAGTATTGCAGAAGAGATGCTGTGTCCTTCCCATCGCTTATTATCTGCAGGGCACACTATGTCAATTTGTCCCATTAATGGTGGTATAGTTTTTTTTTAAAGATTTTATTTATTTGTCAGAGAGAGAGAGAGAGAGAACACAAGCAGGGGGATTGGCAGGCAGAACAGGCAGAGGGAGAAGCAGGCTCCCCACCGAGCAAGGAGCCCTTTGTGGGATTCGATCCCAGGACCCCCGGGATCATGATCCCAAGCTGAGGGCAGTCGCTTAACAGACTGAGCCACCCAGGTGCCCCAAAGGTGGTATAATTTTGATAATTTGATTAAGATGGTGTCTGCCAAGTTTCTCCACTATAAATTCCTTTTTTCTCTTTGTAATAAACACTTATTTTAAGTGGAGACATTTTTAAGGCTATATGAGCATCTCATTTCTAATCCCACTAATACCCCCTAGTTTTAACATCCATTGATACTTCTTGCCAGAATTAAATATTTCTCTGATGATTTCCAAACCGCAATTTTCAAATTCCACTATTCCTATTATATTAATTGATTGGCATTCTACCATAAGGAAGAACTTTCTTATCTTCCCATATACTTGTTAATATGTTTATTGCTATCAACATGGACTCATCGATTTCCCTTTTAGCCAATGGACTATAACTTATTACTTAAGTATATCATTATTTATTTTGACACTCAAATCGTCTCATCTTGAGAGCCCCTTCAAATGCCTTCTGGGTCCTTTTAACATGTCTCTATCATTCTCTGAATATTTTCTGAGTTGCTCTTCACAACACGATGTTCCAGAATTGTCTTATACATTCCACTCTTAGAATCAGCCAATTTTCCAAGGAGCCTTGGTGACTTTCCACGGATAGTTGTATTAGAAACTAAGATCTGGGCATGAGGTATGCTCATTGCTACTGAGTATATAATCATTCTCAGGCCATCTTGGTGGAGAGTTAGGAATAATATGTATGTACTAGCATACATGCATACACACATGCATACACCTTTGTATCTATAATTTCTGTGTCTATGTATATGCAAAATTTGTACTGATATAGCTCCTTCCTATCCAACACCACAGGGTTTATTTGAGCTTTCCTTTTTTCCCTTTTGCTACTTCTCACCAGTAAAAATCCTGACTCTCCTTACCCCTAATATATTTGCCTGTTTGCTCAATCCCTTTTTGTAGCCAATCCTGTGACAACACTGGGCTGTCATCATCACGAGGGTCAATGTGACTGCCCCGCTGGGTCTGCCCCTTGACTTTTGGACAGAATTAGGAAGGAAGGACAAAGGAATGGAGGGAGGGAGGGAGAAAGGGAGGAAAGAAGGAAAGGGTTCATTGTTTTTAATTTGAGGTATAATTAGCATATAATGCACAGATTTTAAATGTTTAATTGGATGAATTTTTAATATTTAATAAATTATTTTTTTAATTGAAGTGTAGTGGACACACAACGTTACATTAATTTCAGGTGTGCAGCATAATGACTTGACAAGTCCATACATTATGCTGTGCTCACAAGTGTAGCCACCACCTGTCACCATACAACGCCATTACAGTATCATCGAGTATATTCCTTATGCTGGGCCTTTCATCCCTGTGACATTCATTCAGGGACCGGAAGCCTGGACCTCCCACTTCCCTTTCACCCGTTTTGCCCATTCCTCATCCTTCCCTCCTCTGGCGACCATCGGTTTGTTCTCTGTTATTTATGGGTCTGTTTCTGCTTTTTGTTTATTTCTTTGTTCGTTTTCGTTAAATGAGTTTTGATCATTGCGGGTACCCTAGTAACAAACATGTAAAAGAAAATATAGAATGTTCCTGCCCCTCCCGAAAAGCCCCTCAGGTGAGGGTACATCCATCAGCAAATATCGTTAAAAACCCCTCTTCTGTCACTGCTCCCCTCAACGACTATCACTCCATTTGCGTCTGTTGCCAAAAATGTCTCTTAGTTCCATACTTCTCAGATTTGTTTTCCTGATGCCCCACCTGTTTAGTTTCTCTCTTTCTCCATTTCCACCTCAGATCCTGTTTTTATAAAACAACTCGGCCCTGCCTTCTTTAGTTTCTCTCTTCTCCACACATTGAGGGAATTCTCCACAATAAAGCCGAGCCTGTGAATGATCTAGAAAACCCTTTGAAGGGGAAGGTGGAGTAAGAGTGTGTGTGTGTGTGTGTGTGTGTGTGTGTGTGTAAAGACTGTGATTTAATCACAGAGGGGGAAGGGCCACTGTTATTTTCTATTAGTGGCAGTATACTTTTCCTCTTGTCACAGAACACAATGTTCATTAGAAGCAAAGTTCAAGAATCACTGCCTGACAAGAATATTTCTTAAACTAATGTGTGTCGAGCAACTTTAGACCTCAAAGACCATCCAAATGAGAACCAGCAAAGGCAATTGACTCAGAGCTTGCTATAACAATGGACTCAGCCATCATTTGCGTATGGCAGAGACTCAAAGTCAAAGGAGTGGTCAAACTCGATTGTGGAAACAAAGGGCAAATTTCAAGTATGTCCTGATGGGACATTGTTGGTATGATAGGGTCGATGGAAGTGGACTAACTAGAAGCTGGGCATCCTATGTGATTGATTAAAGAACATATTTGGCTTTCTCTAGTTCATCCTAAGTTAGGCCGATTGCTATGGAGGTTGTGATTTGGCTTGCTGGATTGGTTGCTACAGAAACTGGGGGTCAGAGTTCTATTTTTATATATTTTCTGGCCATTGTCCACTTGTATATTCAGTCACTGAGAGTGAAGGATGCATGAGACGACAGGGAGTCATGGCCGGTCCTCTCTGAACCCTCCAAGCAACGTCATCAGCATTGGCCATTGTCTCCTCATACTCAACTTCTGTTCTTTTCAGAGTCCCAGCTTGTAACTTCATGTCAACTTTCCAATCCCTAAAACGGATCTAGAAATCTGCCTAGACAGATCTAAGAAGTATTAAGAATGATGAGCAGGACTTTGTGTTGACTTGATGTGAGAAGACTGAGGTTTTGAGGATAGCTTTGAGGTTGCTCCTGGAGCTCCCAGGATGATCTTGTTACTAACTGCAAGTAAAACAGAAGTCTAGAAGAAATCATCATTTTCTGAAAGAAGATGATGAACTTGGATTTTTAGGGATTGTAGTTTTAGATGCTTCCCTGTGGATGTTCTTTAGAATCATGCATCTGGAAACTGGAATATCATTTTAGAGGGTGTGGAGACTGAAACCCAGAGATGGTCCAAAATTCCTATGTCAAGACTGTGGGGGAAGCAGATGCTCCAGACTTCTGATGCTCCACCCACTACGTACACAAAACTAAGGATAGGGAATGAGAGGTCTGGAGTAGAGGCCTGAAAATCTGGGAATCACCAGGATTCTATCGGAGGTGGTAATGGACCGTGTTGTGCCATTAAAATAAATGTTATGAAGACGGAAACCATTTGCCAAAGATTTCACAACAAACCCACGGAAGTGAAAGTAAATGATTAAAAAATGTAGGTCTCAGAGTTCCCTTCAAATTGTGATATTTTACCTTCTATTTACAGAGGTAAAAGGACACAAGAGAAAAGGTTAATGTTTAAGCACTTTTATATTTGCATCCCTCTTTTTTAGCAGAGGAAACCATTTTGGTAGTGTCTGTGTGAGTCATCCACAATGATTTCTCTGGGGCGCTTCTTGTTCTCGATTTTTCTCTGCCATGTTGCTACTGCAGGACGGAGTAAGTACTCTTTGCTTTTGCAAATATAATTAATATACCCAACACCCTAGTATATGACAAGGATCAATAATGATCATTAAAATTCTTTCTAGTGTGGATGCTGGGGAGTCTGGATTGAAACTGATTCTTCAATATTGCCACGCTTAAAGCTCCTCCCTAAGATATTCAGCCAGTTGAAGCCTCGATGTATTGACCTATAAAATGGGGATAACTATAGTACCCTTCAAAGGAGGATTAGGAGGAGATTAGATGAGATATTGCATATGTGAAATATTTGGTACAGAACTTGGCATAGTTACTATTGGTAGCATTAAATAGTTTTTTTCATTTTTGTGCTAGCTGAGCTTAAAAATGAAAACAGATTTTTTTAAATTTTATTTAAAATCAATTAATTAACATATAGTGTATTACTAGCTTCGGAGGTAGAGTTTAGTGATTCATCAGTTGCATATAACACCCAGTGCTCATTACATCAAGTCCCTCCTTAATGCCCCAGCCCCCCACTTGCCTCCCCTCCAGCAACCCTCAGTTTGTTTCCTATAGTTAAGAGTCTCTCATGATTTGTCTCCCTCTCTGATTTTGTCTTATTTTAGAAAAATATAAATTTCTTAACTCACTGCTTTGTGCTCTATTTCAGCCTGTCCCAAACCAGATGTTTTACCATTTGCCACCGTTGTTCCATTAAAAGAATCCTATGACCCAGGGGAGCAGATCGTGTACTCCTGCCATGCGGGCTACGTGTCCCGGGGTGGGATGAGGCGGTTCACCTGCCCTCTCACAGGACTTTGGCCCATCAACACCCTGAGGTGTACCCGTAAGTCAGTGCCTTCTCTCACATGCTCTCCCCTCATTGGGATTCGGGACACTTGGGGGATAACCCACTTTGTCATGCTGGGGCATAGAGGGCCAGCGGAGCCACAGAGTGGAGGGCCGTGAAGAAACAAGAGGGCATGAGGGAGTGTTCGTGGGAGGGGAGAGCAGAGGTGATAGGTCCTATTTAGAGAGGAGGAGGTGAGCATAGCCCAGAACTAGAAGAGATGTAAAAAAGCGACCTGCTATGATAAAAGAGAGAGAAACACTGCAGAAGTAAAAAAAGATGTACAGATACTCTGAAATTTAGACAGATGCCAAAGAGACTCTTGAAAAAGTAAAACATGAGGAACCATCAGATCTTTGGACTTGACCTCAAAATGAAAGCAGATTTAATAGAATCATCACATTATAATAACGTATAATAAATATAATTATATGAATTATATATGATTATATAACCATAATTTATAAAATAAATTATAATAATTTATATGTATAAATATAATATAAATAATTTAAGCATAAATTTATTGCTATCACCTATGGTAGATGGTTGCTTTTCTTTATTCCTCAGTATATGGTTCTGTGATATCATGCCAGCATTACTTTTTACAGTCAAATATGGAGCAATCAACTGAATAGAATTTCTGGCAATTTTATGTAGTTAAACAGTAAAAAAAAAAAAAAAAGGACTATATGGGTCTATCTGAGCTCTGGTTATTTTGGTCATATGAACATGACCTTTGTGAAAATCATACATTTCATACAAGTGATTTTAGTATGCTTTTTGATTCAAAAGGACTAGACAAGATTTTTAATGAAAAACAGCTATAACATCATAAGGGAAAAGTTTTCTTTAAATTGGTCATAACTCTGGAATACTAACAATTTCATTTTTTCAAGTTACTTTCCGTGTGTATATTTTTGCATCATTGCAGAGAGTAGGTACCATTTTGTATTTTTCTATATTCATCAGCATAACATAAATATTGACTGTGTCCCCATAGTCTTCATAATTTATATTTTGTTGGTTGCATAAGAATGCAACTGTTGATTTACCATAGTTGATCAAAACAATCACCTGATGGTAAACATTTAGGCTGTCCAATTTTTGTTATTAGAGGTAACAGTACAATGAGCCCCTTTGTGCATATATCATTTGACTAAGTTTGAGTTATTTGCTTAGAATAGTTAACAGTAGAGTTATTGGATCAAAGAATAGAAATGAGTTTATATGTTTTTACTTTAATGAAAAATTCTACAAATTGAAATTTACCTTTTTATCTTTAAATTACAGCCAGAGTATGTCCTTTTGCTGGAATCTTAGAAAATGGAGCTGTACGCTACACAACTTTTGAATATCCCAACACGATCAGTTTTGCTTGTAACACTGGGTAAGGACTTCTAGCTAACAGAGGCAGAACATTTCTGTGCCCTTAAGCTAAACAGCAAGACATATTTTACTTTTAGCCTTTAGGCTGGACTTGCTGAATACAAATCATTTGTTGTCCTGCTTTTCATCTATACCACAGTGGTGTTAGGGTAGGGGAAGGGATGGAGACCATAACAACTAATAAAATATGAAGTTGCTACTGTATCCAACTTTCCTTCTCCTAGTTAATTACTTAACTGAGGAGGTACATTGGAAAGACTAAAACTGGATGGTAATTCTTTATCATCTCTGGGACAAATCTTGGCATGAAGGATAAAATACTTTAGGAATTGGACTTCAGCTTTGGACATGAGCCTAATTTGATTGACTGACCTGGGAGTCTCCAGAAGGGAGTTCTCTGGCGAAGGCTGGGAGTGTGATGGTAGAGAACATAGTTCTGTTGATCCTCACACGATGCAGGGCAGCATCCCCAGCAAGAAAGCATGTGTGGTCCGTCATATAGCCTTATGAGCAAAGGCATCACCAGTGACATTGTCCATATAGGTCGGCTGTACCTTAGGGCCAAATTTTCCTGAGGATTCTTGTTTGGGATTAGAAATTAAGAAATTCCGTGTGTGAAAGAGAAATGGACTCCTTTCATCTGAAACACCAACTAACTTGTGGGTCTGATGACAAAGGACTTTGAAACATTTGGCTTCGAGGAGACAGTGTTACATTTTCGATGGAAATATACTGCATTGTTTTTACCCATTTGTGTGAGTAGAGTGAAGAGTTTCAGGAAATGAATAGTAGCCATGCCTCAGTTTGATTCACTTTTGTGACCCTGAAGAAATGATGCTGCTTTGTTCCATGTAAGAAGCAGCTAATTTGGCCTGCTGATTAGAAAAGAGGGATTTTGGGGGGTTGGCTTCTACGCCTCCAGCTACGGAAACTTCTCATTCTTCTGTGAGTCCCTGGCAGCCCTGGGCTGGGAGATTTGATGAGCCTTAAGTGAGTGCTGAGCTCCTCAAGAAAGCAGCATTACAAAATGGGGAAAAAGTCAGTAGTGTGAATCTGAGGTGATGCTCAGTGGAGAAGGCATTTGAGATGCTATCGATGGATTATTCTACCGCTTGATGGGTTACATTTTCCTTCTGTAGGTTTTATCTGAATGGAAGTAGTTCTGCTCGATGCACCGAGGAAGGAAAATGGAATGTTGACCCTCCTGTCTGTACTCGTGAGTCTGCGGGTCCTCAGTTCTGGGGAGAGCGATTAGTTGGTTTGCCTGGGACTTTGCTGGTCTTAACCCTGTACATTCCATGCCCTGGAAATCCCTCAGTCCTGACTCCTTGGGATGGTTGCTCACCCTCATGGGGAGTGTTCATCCTGATATTATCTTACCCTGGAGGATCAACAACCCTTTTGGAAGGACAGAAGGAAAGCATTCAACTCATGAACACATTTGTATCCTCCACCTGGTGGAACCAGTGATAGCTGGGCTTATTCATTCCATCATTCTCTCAGTTTTTGACAGGGGCTTGGCTACATGTGGCATTGGTCAATCAGGGACTGCCATCACTTGACTAGAAAAACTGGAAACTGAGATCAAACATCTTCCTCCTTTTCTGGGACCTCATTCATTCATTTATACAATTATACATACATTCATGCATTTATACATTCATTTATACATTTATGCATATTGAGAACCTAATGTGCGTCATATCCTGTTCTCAGCACTGAGGCTATATGGCTGAAAGAGACTTCTGCCTGCCCTCAGCAAGTGTGTCTAGAGGTGAGGGACATAGGAAAGTAACCTTCACAGTGACTTTAGACTCCACCAAAGGGCCTTGCCTCATAGGAGTGGAGTGGGATTGTTCCCCAAAACACTGCTGGCTTATTCCGGGGACCCTCAGCCAAGCAGTCAGGGGTGGCTCTGGGTAATGCTGATATAGGGAGGGATGTTCTGATTGTGATTCACGGGAGTCCAATCTTCGAACAGGAGGCCCACGCATTACAATCATCGTTATGGTTTTTTAACATTTCAGTGAGGTCTGTCCTAGCAAGAGTCGGTGAAAAAGTCAAGCAATTTCAAATCAATGATGGTTTAAGAAAAGCTGAACTACCACAACAAAAGGTCTTTAAGGCCAAATTAGAGGTCTTTACTCAGCAGTAAAAATCACCACTGTTCCTGTAGTTTCCCTTGGAAGCAGATTTATATCAACTATGTAAAGTCACTTTTGCTTCTTGGTTACAAACCGAAGATCTGCTTTCACTTCAGTCTAATCTAAATCAATGCTTCTCATACTTTAATGTACTGCGAATCACCTGGGCATCTCATTAAATGCAGATTCTGATCCACACTCTGGGGTGGGGTCTGAGCTGCCGCATTTCTTGTAAGCTTCCAGGCAAGGCCCCTGCCGGGGTCTCACGGATCCCACTTGGAGTAGCAAGGATCTAAATAATTCAGATGAAATCACATTCACTCACTTCCTTTACATTAGTGTAACTCTCCCTGGACTTATTGAAACCCTGTATTAGTCCTCTCAGGATGACAACCCAGACACTGTCTCCACATAAAGTTACTTGTGTAAGCGCCGTGCATTCAGAGTGCAGAAGCAGGAGATAGTCAATGGGAACAAACCAACGTAAGCCAGCGGTGGAACGTAGATGGTCGCAAAAGACTTTGTACCAAGTGCTATTATGAGCAGTTATTGTAGGATGGTCCTCCACCAACTCGGACTTCCAGAAACATCTAGCATTTGGATCACAGACTGTTGGAGACCTATGCACTGTGTCATTGTATCAGGCAAAATCGTGGTGACAAGACAGACTTACTTCATTTTTCAATCTTTTCACTGGTTCAGACATCTGGTTTTCAGATCATATTTTCTTCTGTGCCTTCTTTAAGGGACTGTTTTTACCCTGGTATTTGATCCAATTTTGCATTTTCTCAAGTTAATCTTTGTTTTTTTGTTTTTTCCTCTCTGGAAAGAGCATCTTTAAAAGACTCAACTATTTCATAAAGGTGATCATTCTTTCTTTTTCCAGCTGTAACCTGCCCTCTACCATCCATTCCTAAGTTTGCAACCCTTAGTGATTATAAGCCATTTGCTAAAAACCACTCCCTCTACGGAAACAAGGCTGTCTTCGAATGTTTGCCACACTATGCCATGTTTGGAAATGATACAATTACCTGCACAGCACACGGAAATTGGACTACATTACCAGAATGCAGAGGTAGGTGCAAGGACAAGAGACAGCTATTATGACAGTGTAGAATCCCATTTTTGAGAACTATGGAAAATTCCACTGTCATCGAGTGTTTCCGATGGCCTTGTTCAACAAATGTTTATTGGCATCTACCATGTGCCAGGCAGTGTGCTAGGTATTGGGGATACCAGATGAATGAGACCTGGCTTCTGACCTCAGGAGAATTATATAAAATGCGATGAACTGTTTGGAGCTGCCTGGGAGAGCTTCCGAGAAGAGAAGTGGAGAATGAGGGGAAGGCATGGAAAGTCAGGGAAGCGTGAGAGAACAGGGTGTGTGCATGGACAGTTGAATATGGTGGTGAGGTTGGTTGAGAGAAGCCAGGATTAAATTGGGACATCCTAGGAGATGAGGGTGAAAAGCTGAGCTGTAGTCAGATTGTCCCAAGCTTTTATAGTCCACCTAAATTTAAGAATCACAAGAATATTTGATTTAAAAAATTATGAAAATTCTTCCTCTTCTATTTATTTTTATTTTTTAGAGAGAAAGCGCATGTGTGTGCTCGTGGGGTGGGGAGGGGCAGGGGGAGAAGGAGAGGGAGAAACTCTTAAGCAGGCCCCATTCCCAGCACAGAGCCTGAAGTGAGGCTCAAACCCACGCCCCTGAGATCATGACCTAAGCCAAAATCAAGAGTGGGATGCTTGACCAACTGAGCCACCTGGGTGTGCCCTTCCTCTTTTAATTTGACCTATCATTGTTATCTTTGAATTTGTCAACTGCAAAACAAGTAGACAAATTATAGACTTTATCATGCACACAAGGAGTTATACTAAGGACTGCTACTTTCTCCTGTAGTAGATATTGCAGATATCTCTTGAATGATTCAAAGCATAAATGCTTTTTAGCCTGGGGAAACTACCAATAATAATACCCAGCACCTTCTGTGGGACTTAAACTCTGGGCCAGGTACTGGTCTCCTGCTCTATATGTGTCATCTCATCTCGTTTAATTCTCTCAAGTCCTAAGCAGTAGGTTCTTTTTTTTTTTTTTCAAACTTTCACCTACACGTATCAACCATCAACATGTTGTGACTTTCTCTGTCTCTCTCTCTCTTTCCATAGACAGATGCTTTTTCTTCCTGAACCATCTGAAAATAAGTTGTACACATCATGACACTTACCCATAAATACTTCAGCATGAATGTCGTTAGAACAAGAACATTGTCCCTGTAGACAAGACTTTTAATGTGTTTTGAATTATTAACAATAATGATTTAAACTATTATAATAGTATAAACAATTAACAACATTTATTTCATGTGGAAATTTCCTCTCAATTGACCCCGAAGTGTTCTTTATACACATGTTTTGTTTTACATGGGATCCTGTCAAGAATCACACATTTGGTTTAGTTGTCATGGCTCCTTTAATTAAGAATGATCCCCTGCGGGATGCCTAGGAGGCTCAGTTGGTGAAGCAGCTGCCTTTGGCTGAGGTCATGATCCCAGGGTCCTGGAATCGAGTCCCACGTTGGGCTCCCTGCTCAGCGGGGAGCCTGCTTCTCCCCCTGCTCATGCTCGTTCCCTCTGTCTCTCTCTCTCTCTCAAATAAATAAATACAATATCTTTTTAAAAAGAATGATCCCCTGCCTATTTAGTTGTCTTTCCTTGCCATTTTAATTTTTTTATTTCTTTTTAAAAAATTTTTAAAATAATTTTTTATTGTTATGTTAATCACCATACATTACATCATTAGTTTTGGATGTAGTGTTCCATGATTCATTGTTTGTGCATAACACCCAGTGCTCCACGCAGAACGTGCCCTCCTTAATACCCATCACCAGGCTAACCCATCCCCCCACCCCCTCCCCTCTAGAACCCTCAGTTTGTTTTTCAGAGTCCATCGTCTCTCATGGTTCGTCTCCCCCTCCGACTTACTCCCCTTCATTCTTCCCCTCCTGCCATCTTCTTCTTCTTTTTTTTTTCTTAACATATATTGCATTATTTCTTTCAGAAGTACAGATCCGTGATTCATCAGTCTTGTACAATTCACAGTGCTCACCATAGCACATACCCTCCCCAATGTCTATCACCCAGCCACCCAATCCCTCCCACCCCCCACCACTCCAACAACCCTCAGTTTGTTTCCTGAGATTAAGAATTCCTCATATCAGTGAGGTCATATGATACATGTCTTTCTCTGATTGACTTATTTCACTCAGCATAACACCCTCCAGTTCCATCCACGTCGTTGCAAATGGCAAGATCTCATTCCTTTTGATGGCTGCATAATATTCCATTGTGTACATATATCACATCTTCTTTTTTTTTTAAATTTTTTATTGTTATGTTAATCACCATATATTACATCATTAGTTTTTGATGCAGTGTTCCATGATTCATTGTTTGTTCATAACACCCAGTGCACCATGCAAAACGTGCCCTCCTCAATACCCATCACCAGGTTAACCCATCCCCCCACCCCCCTACCCTCTAGAACCCTCAGTTTTTCAGAGTCCATCATCTC